ATTTGGCTTAAGGAGGGAATAACATACACACTCAATTAGGTATGGAAATCTATCTTACCCTACAGGAAAATAAGGGGAAAAGGGATAAGAGAGAGGGGGGATGATAGGATAATAGGGGGAAGGCAGATTGAGGGAGGGGTAATCAGAAGCAAACACTTCTGAGGAAGGACAGGGTCAAAAAAGAGAATAAATAAATGGGGGTGGGATAGGATGAAGGGAAATATAGTTAGTTTTTCACAACATGAGTACTATGGAAGTGTTTTGCATGACTGCACATGCATAACCTGTACTGAGTTGCTTGCCTTATCAATGAGGGTGGGTGGGGAGAGAAGAAGAGAGAAAATTTGGAACCCAAAGTTTTAAAAACAAATGTTAAAAAATTGTTTTCACGTGCAACTGGGAAATAAGATATACAGGCAATGCCCTATAGTAAAATAGAAGGGGAAGGGGATAAGAGAAGAGGGGAAGAGATAGAAGGGAGGGCAGGTTAGGGGAAGGGGTGTTCAGAATGCATGCCATCTTGGGGTGGGGGGAGGGATGAGATGAGGAGAAAAGTCGGAACTCAAAATCTTGTGGAAGTGAATGTTGAAAACTAAAAATAAATAAATTAATAAACAGATTTGCACTCATAAAAACAAACAAAAAAAGAATAATAATAAAAAATAGAAATGACAAGGGTGGTAGTTTTAGAAAAACCTGGGAAGACTTATGTGAACTGATTCAAAGTGAAGTGGGCAGAATCAGGAGAACATTGTACGAAGTCAGGGCATTAATGTAAGGATGATCAGTCGTGGAAAAATGTAGCTACTCTGATCAATATGATGATCTAAGACAATTCCAAAGGACTCATGATGAAAAATGTTATCCACCTCCAGAGAGAGTACTAATGAACTGAGTGCAGACTGAAACATATTGTTTTTTCACTTTATTTTTCTTGCCCTTTTTTGCAATGTGGCTAATATGGAAATATGGTTTGCATGACTTCACATGGGTAATGGGTATCATATTGCTTGCCTTCTCCATGGGCGGGGGATAGGTGGAGGGAGGGAGAGAATTTGGAACTAAAAAAAATGTTTAAAAAAAGTGATGTGTAATTATACCATAGTTTCTATACTAGAGTGAAAAAGCAGCTGTGGAACCTGGGTTCAAATCCTGATTCTTGTATTTATTACCTGTGCAACTTTACCAAGTCACTTAAACCCTCTAGGCTTCAGTTTCTTCACATATAAATGGAACAGATTTAGACTAAATAAGACTCTTTGCAGTTCTCAGTCTACAATCCTGAGTGGTACATCGAAAAGAGTGCTGGCTGCAGAGTCCAACATTGCTGCTGTTCAGTCATTTTTTCAATCAAGTATGACTCTTTGTGACCCTATTTGGGGTTTTCTTGGCAGAGATACTGGAGTGGTTTGCCATTTCCTTCTCTACGTCATTTTATAGATGAGGAAACTGAGGCAAACAGGGTTTAGTCACTTGCCAGGGTCACACAACTAGTAAGTGTCTGAAGCTGGATTTGAATTCAGGTCTTCTGAACTCCAGGCCTGGGTTCAAATCTTTGCTCTGCTATTTAATACCTGTGTGACCTTGGACAAGTCAACTAATGTTCCCAGTCCTCAGTGTCCTCGTCTGTAAAATGAGGGGGTTGGATGACAATGGCCTCTGAGGCCCCTCCCAACTCTAGATTTATGAACTTCTAAGTCAGTTCACCTCCTGGGCCTCAGTCTCTTTATCTGTGAAATGGAGGGGGTTAGTCTCAATAGCCTATGAGGTCCCCTCTAGTGCTCAATCCTTAATCCGATGGTAGGAGCCTCCAGAGGTCCCCTTGGGCAGGATTCCCTCTTCCAGTACTTAGTAATTCTATTTTCTCTTTTCAAACCTTATCTTCTTCACCACCATTTCCCTGAATCAACCCCCATGGAGTGCCATCTTCCAGTCACTTCCAAGCAGGCCTTAGTGCTCTGTCTATTTCAAGAATTAGAATGATGGCTTCTTCCTGGGGCCATCTTTAATAATGCTGCCTTTGCCAGGCCCTCATTTCGAGCTTTATCAATTCCCCCAACGGTCTTATGTTGATGATGCTTGTTCAGAAGAGCCTGGGCAAGTCACTTCTCTCTAGACCTCATTTTCCTATTGGGTAAAAAGAGGGGAAGGGGAGGGGCTCAATGACCTCTAAAGTCATTCTCCAGCACTCCTAAAAAAGCAGCTGTCAGAAAAGTCCTCAGGCTTATGTCATTTAATAATACTAGTGAACATTTGTATGGAGCAGCCAGGTGGCGCCATAGTGCACAAAGCATCAGGCCTGGAGACTCGAAGATTCTTCTTTCCTAGTTCAAATCTGGCCTCAGACACTTACTGGCTGTGTGACCCTGGACAAGTCACTTCACTCCGTTGGCCTTACTTTCCTCATCTGTAAAAAGAGCTGGAGAAGGAAATGGCAAAACCAACAAATTCCAGGTTTGTAAATTGCTTTACAAATAGCTCATCTGGTCCTCATGACAACCCTATGAGGTGGGAGCTATTACTACTCCCATTTTACATATGAGGAAACTCAGAGCCAGAACTGAGCAGTAATTTGCCCAATATCACACAGCTAGTAAGTGCCAAAGGAAAGATTCTAACTCAGGTCTTCCTGATGCCAAGTCCAGGGCTCCATCCATAGTACCACCCCATTCATCCCTTCAATAAACATCTTTAAGTGTTTTTAGGTGGAGAGCACTGTGCTAGTACAATGCTTAGCTAGGACAAGGGTGCTTGCCCTCAGGCAGCTTACAGTCTAGGAGGCAGAGCAATAGACTAGAAAGAATGGGGCTTGGGGAAGGGAACAAACATTTATAAGCACTTCATATGTGCCAGGCACTGGGCTAACCCCCTTTATAAATATGATCTCATTTGACAGAGAGCATTGGATTTGAAGGTAGGGAACCTGGGACCAATCTCTGCCTGTCTTCATCTGTATGTAAGGCTGGACAAGTCACTAGCCTGTCTGGGGCTGTTTCCTTCTCTTAAAAAAAAAGGGGGGGTCAGCTAGGTGGTGCAGTGGATAGAACTCCAGCCTTGGACCTAAGTTCAAATCTGACCTCAGACCAAACACTTGACACTTACTAGCTGTGTGACCCTAGGCAAGTCACTTAACCCCAATTGCCTAAAAAAAAAAAAAAGAGGCTTGAACCAGATAGTGTCTTAGGCCTCTTCTATCTCTAGCCCAACAATCTTCTATCCTATGTGACCAAACCCTATTATCAGCTGCTACTGAATCCAATTCCCACTCAGACACCAAGTTCTCTACCAAAAGGGAGAGGCCCCCCACAGTTTGGCTTTCAGAGAGAAAACACCCTTCCCAGCTCCTGGCAGAACCGATTGCTGTCCTGCCATGGGTGAAAGCTCCCTGCTCTGCGGTAGCAGGCCGGCTTCTCTTCTTCCCTAGCTTTCCACATCCCCAGGACCCAGCCTGGCCCAACCACAGGGTTAAGGCCCCCATGCTGGAGATGCACGTGGTCTGGTGGCCCCAGGACTTTCCCAGAAGTTTCTCCTCTGCTTCTGGGAACCAGCTGACCCTCCCCAAAACCAGAAACCTCCTGCTTAGCATAGGATACAACCTGCCCAGGCCGCTGTTCTCCCTATGAAGGAACGATGATTTTACACCCCACTTTGTACACAGTCCTTCCAAGAGAGATGGGACCCTTGGGTTCCCAGTTGCAGCATCCCCTGGGGAACAAAAGTATCCCAAACCTTCAAAAAAAAAAAAGAAAAGGGAAAAAAAGACCTTCCCTAAGCAAACAGGAGTTTGGGAGCATATGTGGTACATTAAACATTAATAATTTCCAGTTGTTTCTTTACCTCGGGTAAGAAGGCATTTGTCTCTTCCATCCCCAATCGGGGTGAACTTGGCCAATTTATGCAACCTCCGCATCATCCCTCCCCCAACACACACACAGAGGCACACACACACTCCCCTGTCCTGCAACCTTGCAGACGCATCTGTCAACAGACATTAGCACTTCCCAGATTTGGCACGAGCGGTGACAGGCCCTTATGGGCCTAATGGGGAAACCCCTGGTTCTTATCAGTGCAGGACACTTGGGCCAAGGAAAGGAAGCCTGTCCCGGCCGAGGCCAGCACGGCCTCTGCTGGTGGGGCAGGGGTCGTTCACCTGCCACCGGAGCGTGTCTGACTCCTCCGGCTTCCCTCCTCCACTAAAGTCACGTCCTGGCCCAATTCCCCAACCGCCATGCTTGCCTTCTGCTCCCGAGCCACATGGGCTCAGGAACCCCAGAAGTTCTAACAGCCATGCACTCGAAGGGAGCTGCAGGGCGCAGAGCCCAGCGCCCGGAGGGAGAGCGGAGTAGGGAAGACCGAAGGGACGAGCATAGCCTGTCCTCGGCCATGCTGCCCCCTCCTCACCTTCATCCCGGAGGACTGAAGGGGGACTGAGTGGTGCTTTGGGCCCTGATCCCCTCGGGATGGGGAGGAGGGAGAGAGAAGTGAGCAGGCGGGTGGGGAGGATCCTTGAGTACTCCAGGGGCTTGTTCCCCGCGGGACGGGGAGGGGCAGAAGAAGGAATGGGCGGAGGGTGCGTGGCTGGAGCGGGCCACGGAGGAGTATTGGCCGACTGAGGCCGGTGAGAGGCACAGCCTGGAGGACCGGCGCGCCGAGCCTAGCGCGAGCCCCGCAGCCCCCCGGGGGCCCTGCTGCCCTCCCTCCAATCAGCTGGGGCCGGAGGCGGTGTCGGCGGCGCCGCCCGCCCTGCCCCGGAGCCAGAAGGGGAGCGGGAGCGGGAGCGCAGCGGCCCCTGGCGCTGGACAGGGCGGCCAGTGCGCGCCGAGGCGGGAGCCTCGGGAGAGGAGCCGCCACCGCCGCCACCTCCTCCAGATCCCTCGTGGGCCCGGCGGGGCCGCGCAGGACTGGGCAGCGGCCCGGGGGCCCCCTCCCCGCCCCTCCCCGCCCCGCTCCCCGCCCCTCGTTCCACCGCGGGCCAGCGGCGGCGGGCCGGAGGAAGTCGCTGCAGGTGGTTGAGCAAACGGCGTTTCCGCGCGGAGCTCCCTCGGCGGGTCCCCCCTCCTTCTCTTCCCCTCCCGCCCCCTTCCCCCGAGACCCCAGACATGGTCGGCCGGCTTAGCCTGCAGGATGTCCCCGAGCTCCTGGACATGAAGAAGAAGGGGGACGGAGTACTGGATAGCCCGGACTCGGGACTGCCCCCGAGCCCCAGCCCCAGCCACTGGCTGCTGGCCCCAGGCGGCGGCGGCGGCGGCTGTGGCGGAGGCGCGGAGCGGGGGCTGGCCCCGGGACTGCTGGAGCCCGACGCAGCAGCGCCCGGACCCACTGCCGCGGTGAGTGGCAGGGCATGCGGCTGGGGGTATGGGTGGGCACCGCCCGGGCCAGGATGCGCTGCGCTCTGCAACCCTGCGCCCTGCTCCCTGTGCCAGGAGTCCGATGAGGCTGGGCCAGGGAGACGCTGGGGACCCCCCCCGCCCCTATCCCCACTGTCTGACCGATGCTCTAGGACTTTGGAGGACGCTGCCAGAGCCCCGGAGTTACAAGCCAGGCGGCCAGGATCCTTGGGGCTGCCTGAGGCCGGGGGGAGGGGGCGGAGTGCCCGCCGCGCTGCAGTGTCTGGATCCCGACCCGCGCCTCGAACCTGCGGCCAGCTGGACGCGGCAGCGGCGGCGGCTGGAAAATTGTCAAAATGTAAGAGGTCGAAGCCCAGGAGAGTGTGAGAGAGTTGGAGGAGCGACGGCTGGGGAGACAGAGGCAGACAGGGCGAAGACAGGCAGACCCAAATGTCAAGGGAGCCGGGTCTCCCGGGCTCCACTGTGGCCCCACCTCGGACTTGGGTGTACCCACCCTGCCTCTCTTGAGCTTTTCAGTCCTCCCTTAAGCCGGCCACTCGCTGTCCGAAGTTAGTCAGCCCTTATCCTCCAGCAAGCTGGAACCCGAAGCCCCTGGCATCCCCGAAAGAAAACAGGACAGGCCCTAGGGTTTGGCTAAGGCTTGCCTGATTTGCGGCAGAGGCTGAGATGGTAGCTGGGTTTCTGAAGTCTTATACAGCTTTCAATCTGCACACTCGTTCCTCCCCGCACCATCACTTGTCAACTGATAAGGTTCACTGGGACCTGGAGAGTGGACCGCCTAATGTACGAGGTTTCAAGGAAACCCCCCACCCCCACCCCAGGCAATAATAATTAACAACAAACTAACGAACGAAATTGAAAAGGCATTGTGGCAGCGGTAAGGAGGCAGCCTTAGTCAGGGAGAACTTTAACACATCTTGGCTGTGTGACCTTGGACAAGTCGCTTAGCTTTTAGTGTCCCAGGCAACTCTCTAAGCCTCGGTAGAGTGGAAGGAGCACTTGGGCTCTAGAGTCAGAGGACTTTGTTTCAAATTCTCCTTCTGACTTTACCTTTGTGACCCCTGGCAAGTCCCTTTGCCACCGCTGCCCATTCCTTTCCCTTTACAGTGAGAGAACTGGATTAGTCCAATGGAAGTCCCTCCCAGCTCAGTATCTCTGAGCATTGATTCTAAGAACAGTTGCTGGTCTGCATTGGTGGAGGGAGTTTTCCAATGAAATCACAATGAAATCAGAGATCTGTGCCCCCCCCCCCAATCTGCATGTAGATGTACACGGATATTTCTAGATCTCAACCAAATGGGCAAGTAGCTGTCCAATAGAGCACTGGGCTTGGAGTCAGGAAAATCCGAGTTCAAATCGGGCCTCAGAAACTTACTAGTTTGTGTGATCCTGGGCAAGTCACTTAGTCCCGATTGTGTCAGTTTCCTCATCTGTAAAATTAACTGGAGAAGGAAATAGCAAACCACTCTAGTGTCTTTGCCAAGAAAACCCCCAATGGGGTCACAAAGAGTCAGACGTGACTGAGCAACAGCATGCCTAAATGTCCTCAGGGCTCAGTTCATGGAGTTCCCTTCATAGAAATGACTTGTAGCTATGGCTACCTTCCTTGCTCTTGGCTTCAGACCTGGTTCTAGCTAGATATAGGCATTGTATTCTGTTCAAATGGAGACAGCACCTCGTTTTCCTGTCAGCAGATTTCTGCAGCTGGGCGCCTTTAATTGCCAGAATGAGTGTTGGTTTGGATTATGGCAATGAAAGAGCCTTGTCCTAGCCCACTGACCCATGGCAGCCTTCCCTTGGGGTGCTGAAGGTGGCAATTCAGGCCAGCGAAGTAGTGGGGTAGGAGTGGGATGAAGAAGAAGCAGGGGCAAAAATATCTGGAAATCGGGAAGGGGAGGCAAAACTGATTTTTATCCTGGTATCTCTTACCCTGCATGCTCAGATATGGAGTGCTAGATAAGTGTGCCCAGAGAGATGCCCCTATTGCTGTAGCATGCATGGCATTGTTTAGCTGAAACAAAGGTCTAGGCAGGAACGTGGCTGTGGGGGAAGCAGCTGGCAGGTGGAGGAGGCATGCCCTAGGACAGGGGTGAGAAACCTGTCCTAGGAGTATTCATTGCTCTCTGTATGAGGAGCCCCAAGCAATCTAGCCTTGCCTGGCAGGATTGGACAGCTCAGTGAGCTACCTAGAGTGAGCATTTAGTAAAATGGAGAACCCAGGTCTTCAGGAAACCAAATGATCACTCCAAAGCCACAGTATATGCTCTGTCATCATTCAACAAACAAAAATGTTCATTTTCCCCAGTTGACCAGAGCTTTGTGCAACAGGCAAGCTGCCTTTGCTACTACTAACTTCCTAAACTCTCCTTCCGGCTCCAGGAAACCTGAGCTGGGAGGCTCTTTGGTCCTCCTCCCTTTTCCCATGTTTCATTATTCCCTGTCACCATCTCCACCTCATTCCCTTCTTAGCATATCCAGCATCTTTACCCACTTGACACCATCTGCTTCCTGCCTTGCTTAATTGATTTAAGCCTCCCTAAGTTAGCTTTCTGTACTCTCTCTGCTTGAGTGCCCCTGGCCAGGCTTGACGTGATGAACCTGGGGACTCGGTTGTCCCAGCCTTGAACCCCAGGCCAAACATGGTCCTTCCATCCTCTCCTGTAAGACAAAGGAAATCATAGATCACAGAACATGCAGAAGCACTTTGGAAAAACACTCCCCCCCAACACACACACACACACACACACACACACACACACACACACACACGCGCAGTACAGACTGTTATATAGAGAGCCGAGACTGAGAGTTGGGGGGGGCCCTCCTTATTGAACAGAACAGGACTCTGAGGCAAAAGAGGTTAAGGGATTTGCCCAAGGTCACTCAGGTGAGAAGTAGCAGAGTGTGGGGAATTGGAACTCAGATCCTGGGACTCAAAGCTCAGCCCTGTTTCTACTGTATTGTGCTGCATAGTCTTAGTAACCAACAGAGGGTTAATGGAGATAAACCTGACGGACACTGTACAATCAATTTTAGATGCTTAACAGGAAAACTTTGTTTCCATAGCAAGTTTTTTTGTTTGTGGAGGCAATCTGGATTAAGTGTCAAACTTAAGTGTCAAGTGTCTGAAGCTGGATTTGAACTCTGGACCTCCTGACTCCAGAGCTGGTGCTCTAGCCACTGTACCACCTAGATGTTTCCACGTCAGTTTTTTTAAGGATTACTAAGCTGATTGGTATAGCTCCCTGAGCTGTCTAAAGAGAGTGAATGGGGGGGGGGGGGTTATCTACTTGACTTCAGCAAAATTTAAAGTACTTACTAGCCGTGTGACCCTGAGCAAATCACTTCACCCTCTTTGCCTCAGTTCCTTCATCTGTCAAATGAACTGGAGAGGAAAAGGGCAAGCCACTAAAAATCTCTGCCAAGAAAACCCCAAATGGGGTCATGTAGAGTCAGACATGATGGAAATAACTGAACCTTTGGTTAAACAGCATCATTTTAATTTCAACACTTTTTGTTAAAATCTTTCTTAATCATGTAGTCCACGCTCTTGTGTCAGTAAGTAAGACCTAGTGCACACAACTGAATCTCTTTCAGATGACTAATGATCTCACAGGCCTTAAGGTAGTCATTTGGTTCAGCAAGACCCTTGCTAAGCTGCTACCGTTAGAGGATGGAGGTGGAGTCACAGTGTCAGGATGGGCTGAATTTGTATTTCCCTCCAGGACGCTTCCAAAAAAAGCAGTTCCATGTTTTTAATGTGTACTTCAAATAGAACACTGTCATTGACTTGTGTTCTTGTGACTTGCCAGTTTCTTATCAAAGTGGAGTGGGGAAGCTGGGGTGTGTTGTCTCATCACTCAACCAGGATTCCAGGTAATTGGGCCACAGTGAGGATGTGGACAGCTACTCTTCTTCATTCACATCTTGCTCAACGAGCAAGGTGTCTGTTGAAAAATGGATGGTTTCATTTTGTCATCCAACTCAAGCTTGCTTTCTCATCAGAGCATCTTAGCTACAGGAAGGCTTCCTTCCTGCCCTTTCTGGGGGAAGTTAAATGGTGGCTGTCTTTGAGGGAGGGGGCAGAGACATGAGAAACAAATGGAAGATGGAGGGGCTTCTTCTACTTCCATAGTGTCAGGCACTGAACGATGATTTAGTACCATGGACTCCCAATTTGAAACCCATGTCTCTCAGTCACTGGAAACTTCATACTCACTGTTCTATTTGCTTGGGTTAAGTTGCTATCAAGGAAAAGAAAACAAACAACTTCCTAACAATTATAACAATTCAAAAGGATAATGGGCTGCCTTGGCAGGTAGTGAGTTCCCCCTTGCTACAGGTATACAAACAGAAGCCAGATATTGTGGAAGGAATTCTTGGTCAGGTAAGGTTTGGACTAGGTGACCTCTGAACGTCCTTTCCTGCTCTTCAATTCTGAGATCCTGGGACTTGGAGTGGAGAAAAGGGAGCCTGGTCTTTAGGATACTTGATTTGAAATCCCAACTATCCTTACTACTCCTGATCTTAGCTGAGTTACTTTTCCTTCTACTTCAGTTCTTTTCTCTATAGAACATGGAGGCTGGACTAGATCAGAGAATGTTAAAATGAAGTTGAAAACTTGTGTTTAAAAAAGAAAACGTTTTGATTACTGTAGTGTATTACAATATAAGTGTTTTCCTTTGCAAACCTGTGGATTTTGTTTGACACATTCTAAGAAGGGGTCCCTGGGCTTCACCAGCCGGCTGGCCTGACAGCATCTTCTTCTTGCTTGCAGAATTCTGCCTTGCTACCCAATGCCCTGGGTCCTGGCTGCCCTCCAAGGCTCTGCCCTCTGTCTTTTGGTGAGGGAGTACAGTTTGATCCACAGCCTCCAAAGGAAATAAGGTAAGTGAGCTCAGTGGAAGGGCTGTCTCCCTTCCTTTCCTAGAAAAGGCATCGTTTTCACTGAGGGTGGGAATAGAAAGGGATTACTATATTTACTCCTCTTAGAGCATGTCACTGTAGATGACTTAATTGTCCTTTCCTGAAGCATCTGTGGATAAAATGCTGGACCTGGAGTCAGGAAGACCTGACTTCAAATCGAGCTTCAGACACTTGCTAGCTGCCTGACTCTGGGCAAGTCACTTAACCTCTGTTTGCCTCAGTTTCTTCATCTGTAAAATGGGCATAATAATAGCACCTATCTCTCTGGGGTTGTTGTGAGGACCAAATGAGAGAATATTTGTATAAAGCACTTAGCACAGTGCCTGGCTCATAGTAGGTGCTATATAAGTTCCCTTCCTTGTTCGCTTCCTTCCTTTTCTTTTGAGGATGATTTGGGGAAAAAGTTAAACTGAAAGTTGGGTAAAAGGAACCTTATTGAAGGAAAAGATGTTCTACTAGGTAGCTCCTAGTCTTCTAGCTAGTTTCTGTTGGAGCAGCACACAGGGACCTCCCATGTGAAAAAAGGAAAGTTTTTCAATTGCGTTTTCACACTTCATTCCATGGTGTGTAATTTTCTTGGCATGTGGAGTCATGATCTTTGGTCTTGAATAACATGGGCATATGAGCTCCTCAATTTAACCCCAGACATTGCCATGTACCCACTTGCCCAGGGAGAATAATGCTCTATGCCCGAAAAGTAGACAAGAATGCTAATTTACCATCTGACTGCCTGCTTGCGGAAAGCTAGGCCACAGCCCTGAGACCCTGGGCACCTGTTTCTTATGTATTTAGGAGGTTATTACAGCACCCTGATTTTAAGTGTTTCTTCATTCTTCTTAGAAGAAATTTACAAGGTGTTAAAATAACTTGGAATTTTTCTTTTTTCTTCCTTCTTCCTTTATTCTCTTCTTCCTTTTCTCTTTCCCATATTTTCTTCTTTGTTGTCATCTTTCTTCTTTCTTTCCTTCTTATTCTTTCTTACCTTAATCTTTCTCTCCTCTTCTTTCCTTCTTTCTTTCTTTTCTTCCTTCTTCCCTCCATCCCTTCATTCCTCCTTCCTCCCCTTCCTTTTTCCTTCTGTCCTTCCTTCCTTTTTTCCTCCATCCTTTTCTTCCTCCCCTCCCTCCCTTCCTTCCTTCCCTCTTTCCTCCATCCTTTTCTTTCTCCTTTTCTTCCCTTCTTTCCTCCCTCTCTCCTTTCTTTCTTCTTTCTTTCCTCTATCCCTTTATTCCCTCCTTCCTCCCTTCCTTCCTCCCTTTCCTTTTTCTTTCTTTCCTTTCTTTCTTCCTTCCTCCCTCCCTTCCTTCTTTCCTCCATCCTTTTCTTCCTCCCCTCCCTCCCTTCCTTCCTGCTTCCCTCCTTCCTTTCTTCCTTCTTGCCTCCCTCCCTTTATTCCTCCTTCCTCCCTTCCTTCCTTGCTTCTTTCCTCCCCTTCCTTTTTCTTTCTTTCCTTTCTTCCTTCCTCCCTTCCTTCCTTCTTTCCTCCATCCTTTTCTTCCTCCCCTCCCTCCCTTCCTCCTTCCCTCCTTCCTTTCTTCCTTCTTGCCTCCCTCCCTTTATTCTTCCTTCCTCCCTTCATTCCTTGCTTCTTTCCTCCTTCCTTCCCTCTCTTCCCTTTGTCTTTCTGTCTCTCTCTGTGTCTATCTCTCTCTCTCTTTCCCTCCCTTCCCAGAAACTGATATTTTATGAAATGCTGAGGTTTGCAACGATCCTTTTAAGGAAAGCCAGCTAAGTTGGATCAAATTTAGTACTAGGCAGGGTCAAATTTCAAGAATTTTGATGGTTAGAAATCGGGATTGCATGTAGCTCTCCATTAGTATGTGAGAGGATGACAGGCTGTCTGAGGCCTCCTCCCTTTAGCCTCTAGTTTAAAGCTGATCTATTGCAAGGCTCTGAGTAAAGCCTCGCTGGCTGGGACGGAAATGCCAGAATTCCCACAGCTCTGCTGGATGAGGAAGTACCACAAAGAAGAAGCCCAGCCAAGTCCCTACACTGACACCCTCTAAACCAGCACCACGTTCCTGGTTTGTTGAGTCTGAGCCAAGTGCTTCCTCATAAGCCAGAACAGCCCCCCATCCCAAGGTTTGCTTCATGCTCTCTTGTGTGTCCTGGCCTGCAGGTACACCTCCTCGGTGAAGTATGACTCGGAGAAGCATTTCATCGACAACATCTATATGCCCGTGGGTCTGGTGGTCTCCTCCTGCAGCCAGACCGTGGTCTGCATACCCGGCTGCACCTGGCAGAACTACAAAGCTGAGCTCCGCTTCGAGCCCCGAAACAAGGCCCTGCGATTTCTCAGCACCACCATTGTCTACCCCAAGCACACTAAGACCGTCTACACCACCACCCTGGATTACAACTGCAGGAAGTCCACGAGGCGGTTTTTGTCCAGCGTGGAACTGGAAGCCTCGGAATGCCCAGCAAGTGATTACCTCTTGGATGAATGCTGAATGAGACGTCTGGGGGCGGGGGGGGGATGGAATGGAAGTTGGTCCTTCTGAGTGTGTTGCTCTCTTCTTTGATCTTTCTAAGTGAAAATGGGCAATGCCTTTATTACCCAGTCATTTTCAACTCTGAAGCAGTCTTCTCTATCATTCTAGCTTCGTGTGTCCAGCCTCGGCAAAAGAGAGAGATAAAAATAAAAACCCACCTATGGCATCTTTTGTTACTGTGGGAATTTGATTTTAACTTTTCTTTTTAAAGGCATTTAATTTTCTTGGCCCACAGTTGCATATCCCCCAAAGTATCGATCAAATAACAGATAAAGGGAATATCTAAGTAAAAGGGAAAGTAGAAAAAAAATCCCAACCTTTGAAATAGGAAGCATAGCTCCTCCTATATATAGGGAAGGCAGAGCTGGTCTGTGGTGGATTGTGGAAAAAGTCTTCTGGGGGGAAAGAGTGAGCTTCTCATTTTAAGCAACTTCTGTTGGAAGTAATGGGACTCATTGCCTGAGCTGTCCCACCCATATGGGCTCAATCTGTGTAAACTGAGGTCCATGAGTTATTTCTGTTTCAATCAAAATGCAGACCTTGTCCTTCCTGTTTGCTGAAGATTCTGGAATTTCCTAGATCTTTTTCAACCAGTGGTTGAAAAATCCCAGAAGCCTGTTCTAAGGCGATGTTTCCACCATGGCTGTCTTATGAACGTTGCTGGAAGTCACTTGGAAATTTAGTTAACTGGTCTCCGAAGACAAGACCAAAAGACTGGTTAACCATTCCACTAGTCATGAGGAAAGCCTCTTGTCTTCTTATCCGAGGGCCCTGGCAACAAGCCTTGCAGTCTCTGGAATCCTGCTAACAACGCCACAGACTCATGGAACTCTTCTGATATGTGCATTGGGGTTTCCAAATACTTTCCTAGGCTCCATAAGGCAAAACATAGTGTGGCACATATTTGAGAGAAATGTCATTTTTAAGGCTGCTTGGATGGAATGCTTTTAGGATTTCTCAGGATTGATGCCTTTTGACTCACAACTGGAAATGACTGGCATGGGTCACGTCTGGGTATTATTTAGGAGGGAAACATATCTATATACCCTAGATTCTCTGGAAGCTTGTAATAGTGTCCTTACTCAAGCCTCACACACGTTTTGTCCAAAGTAAGTTACATTCAGAGCAGAATCCCTGTTGCTTGAAGGGCAGTCAATGCCTTAAGCTTAATTCCAGGTGGCAGAAGAAAAAGAAAATCTAACTTTGGGATCAAATTTGAATTCCAATCAAAGGAAGATCATAATCAAAGCATCCAACCTTGTTACTATGACACAAGGTTTTGATGTTTGCTAAAGGGCCAAAGGATCCTCTCGGGTTCTCAACATCAGCTAAGATGATCCCTAGAAAGAAATCAGCCAGAAGAGAGCATCTCTATGTGGGTCACTCATAGAGATTCCAGGCAGGCAAACTGTCCCTTCTCTTAGGCCTCTGTACTCCTTCTGAAGCCCTTGCTCTCCCCCAGTGTTCCCCCTCAGTATGAGTCCCCACTAACTTTGGCTCCTGTTGCCTGCCAAACCCCCATTTCATATTAAGCAAGGCAGAGGTGGGAAGTGGAAGGAAGTGGGCAGGTCATGGTACAAAAACATGCATCAGAGCATTGAATTACAGTGTGGAAGGGTCTTGAGCAGCCCAAGGAAGACAAGGAAACATGTCTGGTCCTTCTTCTCTGGCTCAGGACCTCCTCCAGTCAAGGTGGTGGGCCTCTCTGAAGGCCTGCTGTGGTCCTCTCTGGAGCCAAAGCTTTTTAATTCTCTGTTGAGGTTAAGAGAGCAGAGAGATTTGGGCAGAATCTAAGGGGGCTGTTCAGGTGACGCAGCTCAGGTAAGCTTTCTGAGGCAAAGGAAGTGGGTGGGTGGCTTTTGTCTTCCTGTTAGAAGGAGCAAAACACAGATAGGCTCTTTGAGTAGTTCTAATTCAGGCTCTCTCAACTACCAAGCTGTGGAACCTTGGGCAAGCCATCTGAGTTCTTCAGGCCTCACTTTTCTCCTCTTTAAAAGGAGGTTGGAATAGACAATCTCAAGAGTGCAGAGACAAGCTCTAAAATTCGGCAGCCCTCTTATGGGCATAGACTACCGTAAATGGCAAATAGGCCATGCTTCTTTTCTAAATAACTTATGATTACTTTTAATGGCATAGGTCGGTTTAAAAAGCAGAAATGGTTGATATTCAAAGAACCCAACTGCCGTATCTGGTGATTTCTGCTCCCCTTCATTGGGGGGGGCACTGGTAGTAAACTTTTAACAACCAGCTCTCAGGGGGAAGGGAAGCTTACATACACACCTTTAAATTTAATCTGTATCATTCATATTTTCTCCATCATTTTCTTAAGTCTAGATAATCCACAGAACAGTAAGCCAAGCCATGATCTGTAGCTTTTACTGGTTTCCAAGGTGTAAATGCTCATGCTGCAAAATTAACAATGAGCTAGTTAGAGCTGGCTCCAGCATACCCTTTCTCATAATGAAGTTACGGAGATCAGCATGCTTCTTTGGAGACCGTGACACCTTCAGAGCAGAATTGCTCAATGCTGATTTCAAAATTATAATAGACATTATTTTGTTTTTCTAAATACATGTTGAACTCAGGCCAAGTAGCTGACTTTGCATTAAATAACGTGATACTGAACAGGGCTGCGGGAAGCTGGAGGGCTTTTGGACTCTAGATTTCACTCCAGAGCCAATCAGCGAAGTGCTGCACCAATGTCCATTGGCTACTTATGGGCCAATGAGAAAGAATTCAAATAGGGAATTCATGGTAAAATCTTAGCTTTATAATATGGAAGAACAGTGGGGGAGGGGCTGCAATATCATTGTAATATGTAATTTGGGTTGCTTGTAAATGTGATGTCATTTAAAATGTCGAGAAATGCCTTTCATTTTTTTTCATTGTTCTGTCCAGATATTTTACTTGGATTAAATTTACAGCACAGGAACAAACAACCGACCTCACCCCCCCCCCCCAAACGGTATTGTTGACTGAGCAGGAAGAGCCTCATTGGGAGGAGAAATCACTTTTCTGGCCAAGCATAGATTGGATTTCTCATCTGAGAGCCATCCTTAAGTGAGAGTATTGTTTAGGTGAAGAAGTTAAGTTTGCAGGAAGGTAGTGAGGTGGTTGAGAAGCCGTAAGGGTGGGGAGGTGAGTGAGCTCAGTGAAGACGTGATTGTGAAAAGGAAATGTTTGTGTTCTTTTATCTGGAAGTTATTCAGTGGGGAATCAGCAGAGCTCCTTCTAGCCTTCCCTTTTCTAGCCGATTTTCTGAAAGAGCCCAAGAAAGGCAGCCTAGGGCAACTGGACATTTTCCAAGGAGACTTAGCTTTGGGAAACATGGACTGAACGACCAATACATTCCTATGGGAGCCAGGGCTGCCTCTGCTGTCACTGCTCCGCTTCTTAGAACCTATTTATTCAGAAACGCCTCCAGGAGGGCCAATTTATTTGTCTTGCCTTCATTCAAAGTGGTTTTCGCTCTGTCTACTTGTTAACGATGACTTCAAAGGATTGCCAAGTTGACCTGTTAAAAATGTGCACAAGAGTGACTAAGAATCATTTATTTGTATCTTAGGGGAGGCACTGGTTTCCTTTGCCATTGTTTATACTTTTAAAGATTTTGAAGAGAAAGTACACTGATCAATCTCCCCATACTCCAACCTTAGGAAACCCAGAATGTTGTTTCACCGAAACTGTGGTCTTCTGTCTCTGGTCTTCCTCTTCTCCCTTTTCCACACCACTCCCATTTGCTTGTTACTTTTTCATTTAACAATAAATTATCTGAAATATAACTCCAGGGATGCCTATTTTTCTTTCTTTCTTTCTTTCTTTCTTTTTTTTTTAATGGGACTATTTAGCTATGGAAACTAAGAGAGATAGAAAATGCTGCTTGGCCATTCTGAGAGGAAAGGCCCCACTTCTATTCTAATGGGTCGCTTTAAGGGACCTCAGTGTTTCATTGATAAGACGACCACTCTGGTAAGAAGGAGTTGAAGGAATGAATACGGGCTCGGTAGTCAGAGGACCTGGGTTCAAATCCTGATTTTGATGCTTATGACCGATGTGATTTGGGGGTCAGGATATCTGGGTTCTAGAGATAGCTGTCACTTCCCTCCCCTGGGCCTCAGTTTCCCCCTCTACCATGAGAGGGTTGGATTGCCTCAGAGGTCCCTCTTTCCTCTAAAGCTATAATCCTGTGATCTGAAGTAGTTTGCCTCCAGCATTGTTAGAACCAGAGAATGTGGGGGCTGCATGAACTGGTCCAATCACCCGATGTTACAAAGGGGGAAACTGAGTCCCAGAGAGAGGAACTAGCAGCACTAGCACCAGAATCCAGATCTCCAGACACCTAGCTCAGTGCTTGACCACATCATGCTATGGTTTATAGCCACCAGTTGCATGAGTTTGGAGTGTTAACATTATTTAGACTGTTGATATTGGGAAATCTTGGTAAGGAAACTCCTTCCACCATTGTAGGTCAGGTGAGCTGCAGCGGGCACTGATATATTATGTCCAGGGACACATAGCCAGTGTGTCATAGGTGGGGCTGGACCAAGGCTTCCTGACTCCAAGGTTCACTGACTCGATCCACTCTGCACATTGCCTCTCTGAGGTGGAACGTCCCACTAACAATAGAATGTTCCCCCAAAGCCTTTGAGAAGCAAATTATTCGTTAAAATCTGGGCTTTTGCCTTAGGCTGTCTGATTTGTTCATTCAAATGTGAAATAGCCTTCATTAACACACTGGAATACATATCTTCAATAGGGCCCCATTGGTTACATAATTGAGGGTACATCTGTATTTTTAAAAATGGACCCCCCCCCCCAAAGGCTTCAGACAGCTGATTTTTGAAGAACTTGGTTGTTTCTTTTTCTGAAGCCTCTTTGCCTCTGGTACAATTTTTCATCCTTTGGATTTGAGCTGTTTGCTTCAATGAAGATGCTGAGTGCCTGTAAGTTGGTGAGAAATTGAGAGACAAGAGTTATTCTTCTGCCTTCCAGAGAGAACACATGGAGGTTCCAGGGTCATGACCCAAGTATGGGATAGGGCAATGGGAAGAGCATTGGTCTGAAAGTTAGGAGGTCTGGGTTCAAGTCTGGCAAGATATGGAGCTGTATTCGATGTCTGGTCCCTTTAGTTCTAACATTGTAGGGTGGATCAGGGTGGGGAAGAATGTCATTGTAACTCATGGGACCCTTTCCGATACTTGACTATTTTGGGAATGTTGTCAAGTTTTGTTTTGAGACATCACTGTAACAAATAACAAGGACTGCAACCAAGTAGATGGTTTGTGACCCCTTCCCTCCAATAGAGGTAACCCCGAGATTGGCTTCCCAAGCATTTGGAGAGAGAAAGGTCTTCTGTCGACGGAGTTCATGGCTTGCTCCCACCACTGACTCCAAAGTGTGGTGTAGCATTAAAAAGGCATACTCTGAATTCAGGGAAGTATGAGAAGACTTTTATGAACTGATGGAGTAGAAGAAGCAGACCTAGGAGAACAATAGCATCACAGTCCAGTGGAAAGAGCCTTGGCTCTTTTTGGGGGGGGGGGCTAGGCAATGGGGTTAAGTGACTCGCCCAGGGTCACACAGCTAGTAAGTGTTATATGTCTGAGGTCGGATTTGAACTCAGGTCCTCCTAAGTCCAGGGCTGGTGCTCTATCCACTGCGCCACCGAGCTGCCCCCTGAGCCTTGGCTCTTTTTATCAGAGAACCTGGGCTCTCAGCCCACCTTTGACATTTATCTATGTAACCTGGGCTAAGTGGCCTTGCCTCTATTGACTTTAGTTTCCTCATCTGTAAAATGGGGATTATAACAGCACTACCTCCCAGGGTTGTTGTGAGGGTCAAATGAGGTGATATTTATAAAATGCTCAGCAAAGTGCCTGGCATGTGGTAGGCGCTACATAAATGTTAGCTATTATTCCTATTATGGGGTGCTTGAGAGGCAAGATGGTACAGTAGAGAGCTGGTCTTAGAGTTGAGAATACTTGAGTTCAATATTCTCTGGCATGTGGCTCTGGACAAGTCATTTCCCATCTCAGATCTCTAAGGCTATCTAAATGGCAGAAGAGTAGGAGTTTTCTCCCTTGGGTTTCCCTACAACAGTGAAAAATCATAGGGCTAGGGTGGGGAAGGGTGAGATATGGGTACTTAATCCTATGTTGTTCTGTACCATTACTTACTTTTTCATCCATGTCATGTCTTATATCCCAATTAGACTATAAACTCCTTGAGGGCAGGGATTTTTGTATCCTCGGGAGCACCTAGCACAGTTATACACACAGCACATACTGGAGAAAAAGTGGCTTGATGAACAGATACTAAAGTATGACAAGTGGCATCCAGATGTAGTCACTTTTCTCCGTTTGTATGCCTCTTCTGCTCTGCTGGAAACTTAACTGTGTCACGGTCATCAAGGGTTGTTTGTAAGTGAAGCAGTGTTACTATGGAGGTCATGAGTTCGAATCCTGTTTCAGTCACTAACTAGCTGTGTGACTTTGGGCAGCTCATTTAACCTCTGTTTGCCTCAGTTTCCTCCTCTGTAAAATGAGTGTAATGATAGCACCTACCCCCCAGGACTGTGACGAGGATCAAATGAGAAAATGCATGTTAAGTGCTTTGAAAATATTTTTGTTGTTCAGTCACGTCCAACTCTTCCTGATCCCATCTGGGGTTTTCTCTCAGCAAAGATATTGGAGAGGTTTGCCATTTCCTTCTCCAGCTCATTTAACAGAGGAGGAAACTGAGGCAAACAGGATTAAGTGACTTGGCCAGGATCATACAACTAATAAGTGTCTGAGGCTAGATTTGAACTCGGGTCTTTCTGACTCTAGGCTTGGCACTCTATCCACTGGACCACTTAGCTTATCCTTGAAAATACTAGATGATTATATAAATGCTGCTGCTGTCTTTTTGGTATTTCTGCTGTGCTTTTAAATACTCTGTAAGCATTTTTTCAAAGAACATTTAATTGCCAAGAATAAATTCCCTTGGGTGGGATTTTGGGTAGACCTCATGTTGAACCATGGACAGAACACTGGGCCTGGAGTCTCTTTGCCTCCACTTCCTCATCTGTAAAAGGGGCATAACATCAGCACCTTCCTCCCGGGGTTGTTGTGAGGCTCAGACAGCGTTTGTGAATATCAGACACAATTTTAAAAGCACTTGGCATCATGCCTGGCACGTAGTAGGTGCTACGAAAATGTTTAGTCCCTTCTCTCCTCTAATTCTGCATAAGGTCATAGGATTTGTCATGGGGTGGAGATGCAAGTCCAGAGAGGTAGAAGGTCATCGCCCAAGGTGCACACCCACAGGTGGCGAGGTAGTAGGGTGAGGATCCCAACCTCAGTGCTTTGACTTCACGGCTGTGTATCACACTGCCTCTCATCACTGACGAGTAGCTTAGCCAGGGGTGGGGAACCTTCGACCTCCAGGCACGTGTGGCCCTCTAAGTCCTCACGTGTGGTCTGGGGCCGCGTATGACCTCAAGGCCGAAGGCTCCCCACCCCTGGCTTAGTCCATTTCCAATATGTCGGTAGCACTGCAGGCCTCCAGAGAAGTGGGTTATGGGACAGGTCTTACAGCACAAATGATGGAGGGGTGATTCCATCATCTGCACCCTGTCTGCTCTCTATCAGGGTAAGCAAGAGAGAACCACTATCTATAGGGGAAATCACAGTTTGACTCAATGAAATTCAGTGGGTCACTACAAATGTTGTTGTTGTTCTTTATAAAGAGGTGGTTTTATTTTGGTACATAACATTTTATTGAAAGGAGAGGCTGATCGTAATAGCAAAACAAAGTATCTGTCCTCTTGAGGGTTGGCCTGGTTTCCATTATTTAATTTTTGTATACGTGCAAATGCGTGCTCTTGAGCGCATGCACACACACACACACACACACACACACACACACACACACACCCCCCCCTCGGATCAGGATAGATTTGCCAAAGCAGAAGAAAGCTTCTGCTTGGATACATTGGCTGTCGCTAATTCTGGAGAGGGTAGGATCTTTGATGTCATGTTTCCATCAAGGAAACAATTGGGACAATCCACCTTCATGGCTTGCTGTTTGCTGTTCATACAGCTCTCTGGGTCTGGAAGGACTGAGACGTTCTCATTAATCCCTTCCAGGACACTTGGAGTTGGGCAAAATCCTTCCAGAGCTGAAAGTCGATACCGTTTTCTTCTGTTGAGTTTATAGATGTGGATCCGTTCTTCCTCTGCTACTGGGTCTTCCAGGATGCCTTCCCAGCGGAGACTCTCATTGATCTTGGTGGAAAGGCTCTCTTCCACTTCAGCCGAGGAGGAACAAGAGGGATGCTTGTTTTCCTCTTTCTCTCTTTTAACCTCTTTCATAGACTCTAGTTTGGAGCTAGGATCTTTGCTGGAACCTAAAATGTCATAAGAGGAAAAGAGGCTGAGAGTCTGTTCTGTTGACCTAATTACTGGCATACATAAGCTCAGTTAGCCAGAGATTGCCCTGAAGAGTTAAGGAAGCTAAATAAGCCAACCCAATACCCATCATTCACTGGGATTCCTTGGCCATGTTAACATTCAAAGCAAAAGCTCCCAGCATAATGGTGATTCCAACCATGTTTTTGTGACTGAAGCTCTACAGAGATTAAATGTTGCCATTTCTGGGATCTCTGATGGGAATAGGTAAGAATGTGTGCACATTTACTTGTATACCAAAGGTAAAAGAGTGTATGTAGCATTTAGGATGGAGTGACATTGGAACAAGAATTTATAAAACTCTCCCAACTTTTCTGAAAGTACTAGAATTATGCCACCTGGGAAATCTTTGTATTATTGGATTAGAAAAAATTAATGTGACTTCAGGACTATGTAATATATAGTTTAAATGACATAAACTGTGGGCATTTTCATCAGCTGACACTTCCTTTTCTGGGATACAAAAATGGTAAGTAATCCTTCCTTCAGTATTATGGTTGAAGATTCTCCAACCCCCTGCTTTTGGAAAACCATCTTGTGTGTGCACCCTGCCCTGCCCTCCCCCTCAATGAGTCACTCCCAAGGCAATGTTTAAAGAAAGTCTAAGCTAAGGCGAAAAAAAAGATGGCAAATGTCACCATGTGGCTTTACTGATTGCCTGAAAAAGTCATTCAGACCTTGCTGCTGCTACCGTTCCCTGAAACATAGTCTATGTGGGCAGCCAAGTAGGAAGGGGCTGGTCCTACTTTTACAATCTCTTACTGTGCCTGTGTCTACATAGCTAATGTGGGCAACTCTTTGAATCTCTCTGTAAGGGTCCCTTCAAGTGCTAAAATTCAGTGACTCAGAAATGCCAGTTTACAAATTCTGGAGCTAGGCAGAGAGTATGGCATGAACACCACAGTTCAACAGCACCAACCTAGAGCATCAGAGTAGCTTTCACTTTATATTTATACCCAAGCTTCCTGTGAACAAGTCAAGGACCGCTGGCAAGCCTTCTGATTTTTAAACGAAAAAGAGCTCTTTGTATCAGTGGGTACTCAAAACATGTTTTGATGATGGCAGCTCTGCAGAGGGCCTATTTTGGGGATGAGGAGGAGTGTGTGTGTGTGTGTGTGTGTGTGTGTGTGAGATATTTGTGTATATACTTGTCTTTGTGTGTGTACCTATATGTATTTGGGAATAGGGTATTTTGGCTATCTATGTATACTTGAGAGTAATATATGTTTTGAGAGCTGTCTGTATATGAGTGCATGTGGTGGCAGCTACGTGTGTGGGTGTATGTGTATATGTCTGTGTTGTGGGGAGCTAGCTGTGTCTGGAGAGGAATGACAGTATATATGGATCTGCAGATACACAGAGATTGCCAAGTTGGGCAAGTAAGTATGTGTGGGAAGGTGCCTGTGGATTTAGATGCATATGTTTGGGGATGCCTTGTGTGGGATGTGTGTGTGTGTGTGTGAGACTGTGTATGGTATCTGTGTGTGTTTAGGGATTGTCTATACATATGAGTGTTTGAGATTGTGTGTGTGAGCTGGGAGGTGGCCTCGAGGGTATGGGCAGGCTATTTACTAAGATGTATCTATACATTTTAGAGGGCAGTGGTTTTATGTTTGGGGAGTGCGTATGTGTATATATATGTTTGGGTGTGACTTCCTGGTGTATTTTTTGGGGAGAAGTCCTAGAGACTTGGGTTCAAGTATTTAACTGCTGTCGTCCTTTTGAGGCTGGGTGATGTTTAAGGAGGAACCTGATTTTTGCTGCTTAGTCTCAGTGATATAAGTAGGAGCAATGGGGATGAATCCCCAGAGTGGCAAATTTAGGGCAGATTGTGACGGGAAACAAAACAAACAAAAACCCAACTTTGTAACATTGGGAGCAGCACCAAAGTGGAATGGGATAGCAGCCATGTTTGTTGGTTCATTGAGAATGGAGGTCTTCAGTCAAAGACTGGATGATTATCTGGTGGGAATGTTATTGAAATAATAGATAAGATAATAGCATAATAGATAATATAATAATTATTATATATTATAATACTATAATAATACTAGATAATAAATAAGAAACCCTTATTGAGAGGGTTTTTTTCAGATGTGGTTTCCACTAGGTGGCCCTTGAGGTCTCTTACAACTTTGAGATTCTGTAGTTAGATGTGTCCTATGTAATTAGATTTAGAGCCGGAAAAGACCATTTTGCAGATGAGGACACTGAGGTGCAGACAAGTTACATGACTTACTTGTCCAGGAAGGGTCCCAGGCAAGGTTTGACTCTAATCTTGCTGACTCCTAGCCCAGGCCACAAGCCAGCCCCACTACACCATGTTCTGGGGATGTGTGTGGAGTGCTCTAGAGGGGTTTGTGTCTGGTGGGGGGGTCCTCACTTGTGTATGCATATGGACGTCTGGAATGTGTGAGTGTTTTGAAGTGCTGGGGAGGAGCCCCAGCATGCTGGGGTACATGGGGGGTTCCCCTTCACCAACCACCCTCTCATCTTACCATCCCCCTTGTCTCTTTCCTGGAGGTTCGACTCCTCGCTCTGCCTCTCACTACCTGTACGACCTTGGGTAAGTCTCTCTGAGCCTCAGTTTCCTCATTTGTAAAATAAGGGGACCGCTGAGATCCCTTCCAGATCTAGACATAGCATCCTGTGACTCCTCTCCCGTGCGCGCGGCTTCCAACGGCCCCGCCCCCTGACGCCCCCTCCAACGCCCGCCTCCTGCCTAGGCCACGCCCCCTTGGAAGCTCCCTCACCTGCCCCACCCTGTCTGATCCCCAACTCGAGCTAACCCCCTTGTAGGCCCCGCCTCCTCTCTCCAGGCCCGGCCCCCTGCGCTGCCGGCCCCGCCCGCTCACCATCGCCTTTGCCCGAGCCCTTGCCTTTGCCCGAGCCCTTGCCCAGCCCGGTGGCCGACGACTTCTTCTTCTTTTTCTTCTTCTTCACCTTTCGCCGGCTGGTCTCGGGCACGTAGCCGGAGATGGGCGGCAGCCGGGACACGTGGAAGACCTGGGTGACGGCCTCCCGCTCCTCGTAGTCCTCGTCGTCGTCCTCGTCGCACTCCTCTCCGGCCCCCGGACCTCCTCGTCCGCCTCGGACGTTCATCCCGCCCGCCCCGGCTGCCCGAGCCCGGGAGGGCTCCAGCCAGACCGGGTTCAGCCGCGCCGCCGCGGCCACTGCTGCCACCTCTAGGGCCTTTGCCTTGGCCGCCCGTGGTCGCCCCCACGCGTCTCCATGGCGACAGCTAGGCCACGCCCCTTCACTGCAGTGACGTCACTTTTGCCCGCCCTCCGGCGCAGTACGCATGCGCGCTGCGACGGCCTGGGTGTAAAGGGCTGGTGATGTTCTGAGTCGCAAGAGCGGGAGGGCACCCTAGGGGGCCTCTAGGCTAGCCCCTTCATTTTACAGATGAGGAAACTGAGGCAGGTCAGTTCAAAAGGGACCTGGAAGTCACCCTCAGCCCATCTGGTTCTACCCTTTCATTTTACAGATGAGGAAACTGAGGCTGGAGGAGAAGCGCTGTCCTGGGTCCGTCACGCTGTTCCGGACAATCATTTCCGTGTGGACTCCTGGGTCCTAATTGGCTGCTTTCCCTTCCTCCGGCTCCTCATTTCCCCTCTAGTCCTTCCTGTACACACCTGCCCAGGTGTTATTCCCAAAGCACAGAACCTTCCATGTGGCTCCTCAGGCTCCTAAATTTCTGAGATAAAATAAAAATTCCTCTCTCTGGCTTTTAAATGACAACAAATAATAGCTAATATTTGTAAAATGTTTAAGGATTGTAGGGGTGTGTGTGGCAGGATTTGCACTCAGGGCTTCCTGACTCCAAGCTGTTTACACCCTGGCTTCAACATATCTTTCTAGCTTTATGATAACGTTATTCCCCTTTATATTCTCAGCCCAGCTAAATTCATCTACTTGCTGCCCCCACAACATTCCACATAACATCTCCCACTTCCACATCTTTGCATAGATTTTCCTCCAACCCCCACCCCCAAGCCTGGAGTGCCCTGGATCCTCACCTGAGCCTCTCAAAATCCCTGGTTTCCTTCAAGGATCACCTTTAAGTGTTTCTTCTTACAAGAAACCTCTCCTTATCTCTCCAGCTTCTTATTCCGGCTACCCCCCCCCACCTCATTACCTGCCTTGTATTGATTAATCATACACACACATTATTGTGTGTGTGTATGTACATGCTATTTTGTTCTTTAAGTGACTGAGGTTTTTCCAGATTTGAATACTTCTTCTGTATTCACTGTACCCCTCTGCCACTTTAAAATTTTGTTGCTATTTTTAAAAACATATTTGCAGTCCACACAGATTGGCTTCAGTGACTATGATTACTTTTTTCCTTTAAAAAAAGTCACCTCTATTGGAGTCCAGGAAATGTCAAGCAATATAGAAGAAGGGCCTCCCCACTTCCTAATCATGGATTTATGGGAGAATATTGACAAGAGCCCCTACCCGCTGTGGGCAAGAGCCATGTTTTAGGATGCGTAAACATGCATAGCTTGCACCCTAATAAGCATCAGGGGACAGACCCAAGACAATAAGATCATATCTTCTCTCTTCTCCTCTCCTGTCTTATGTCTATGGAAGCATCAAAGAAGGTCATCATTAATGTTTGTGTTCTTTTAAATCTCTTTTTTTGGGGGAGTTCTGTATCACATCATATAAATCCTTATTTGTCACTCAAGTGCATTGGGACTTAATTAATGGAGATGTCATCTCCATCAGCGAAGATGGCTCCCATCCATGCCCATCCCATGAGACTCTTGTTCCATGTTGACATTGCAGGGGCACCAGTGGAGCACCCAGGATGCCCATTTGCTACCTATCCATTGTTCTTGCCACAGAATCTTCACTCCTCCATTTCTCTGTTCATGTCCTTGACTCCGATTCTTTGAAGTTTTGTGGTCTTATGCTTCACTTCCCCTCCCAGCCACCTTATCATCCACCGCTGTCCTGCTTCACCCGACCGGGACCTCTGCAGTCCATGTTCCCAATCCGAGGGAAGGGGATTTGGAGCTACCACCCTAGAGCCCACTCCAGTTGATAGGTGACTGAGTTCAAACGAGTTCCCTTAGCCCATGGCATCTATTGGCTGACCCTAGATACCAGGCCTCCACCTGTGCTGTTTACCTGCTGTGCACTTACCCTCTTCCTCCTTCTCCAACTCTGCTTTCTACCTCCTGCTCTGAATGCCATTACATCTGTAAAAGGAGTCTCATATGCCTTTGTAACGGGAGGGCTGGCCATTGAGGGCTCAGCCCTTAGATACTATGCCCTGACTGACACTGCCCCAGGTGAAGGTCAGTGAGGAGCCTTCTTTTCAGGAAAGCATAATGGAGAAAACCTTCCCCACAACTTCGGAGTCTCCTTCACATTGGCTTATTTCATGGTGACCAACATCTTCTAGTTCAGGCTGCTGATTTGGAATTGTGGGCTCATAAAAAAGGTTTGAATGGATGGATTTTCTCTTTTTTCTCCCTCGATCAAGTGAGGCAAGATATGCCGTGAGCTGTTAGGTGGGAGAGTGCTTCCACGTGGCTGCCAAGGGTCCCCAAACACAGGATGCCTGTGCATCTTTTGTTTCTTGTATTTATTCTTTCCTGATTATAGATGGATTTGTATCTAGAGATCGAATGGGTCAGGTTCAAGCACTAAAAGAGCCATCAGATGACCCATAACTGGAATGGGCAGCAAAATCTGGTCAGGAGCCAGCCCCAATTACTTAACCCAGCCAAACAAAGAGCCCGATTACCTGAAAAAAGAAACAACCCATCTCTCAGCTATGTCTCCCCTATGTATGTTGAAATGACTTCTGTTGAGGTATGGATGAACAAACTGTTGGTGTATCAATGAAAAGAAATATTATTGTACTATAAAAACATTACAAGTGTGAAGAATTCCAAAGCTCTACTTATATCATTATATGGTGAGTCACAGAGCACTATAATCTATAAGGAATGAAAATTGTATTTTACACAGAAGGCATTGGAGGTGGGTGTAAACAGGCTGCAACATGTATTAATCAATGTGCATTTATTAAGCATTTACTATGTATTACATTACAGGCTGCCAAGCCCCAGCCTTGGATTACTCCCACCATCTGTTGATTTCACTTCAATTCATGTGTTGCTGAACAGAACTAGAGAAAGTTGTGAAATCTGCTGATTCCACTGCAAATATATGTTACATAATTTCAACTGGGCTCTCACCGCAGGAAGGCAGCCCTTTTGCACCTCCCTAATCAACTCACTATCCTGTTCACCACTGTCCTTTAGAATGGATGACTTCCTTTAATACTTAGCTCAAATGCTTCCTTTTGCAGACCTTTCCCAGTTCCCTCAGGCCGTAGTGCCTTTGATGGGGTGCTTGGGTGCTTGTGCTTGTACTTGGACCCCAATTTCTCCCTAGTCTCAGAAACACTGTCTCTGACAACTACTCCCCAGCCCAAGGACATTGTGCCTAGCGGTTTTTCATGTGTGGGTCCCAGCAGGACCCTTATCTCTCTTCCTGGCACAGCTACACAAAGCTGGGTGAGAGAGTGCTGGGCTGCTCAAGCCCCAGCCCTCAGATCATGTCTCTGGAAGCCTCCCGATTCCTTAGTAAGTTCCTGTCTTGTGAGAAAGCTTTCCCTTGTTGCAGAGCATTTTCTCATCAAGACAGAGGGAGAGGGGTGCCTTGCCCAGCCCAAGGAGTTTTGTCTTTAGCCAGCCCAAGGACTCTCCCTCCTGCCACATTCCAAAGATTCATACCTCTGTCATCTCTGTCCCTGTCCGGTATACTCCCTGTACTTTCCCATCCATAGCTCCCAAAGACACCCGGACCTTTGGATTACCTAATCAGTACCCCTGGCATTCCTGTCCCATACCCTTTTCCATATAAACCCTAGCTCCATCCTCAGTCTCTCACAGGTTCCTTAAGAATCCTTGCCCACTGAAAAGTGTAACAATAAATCTTTGCCACCTTGACTTAAAGAATGCTTGAGACTGTGAATTCATTCCAGATGATCCCGCCTGTACTCCAGTCTTTGAGGGGTCTCAACCTCTCAGACCACAACACCTTCCCCCCTAAAGATAACTTATATATCTACTCCAGTAGTTTGAGAATGCCTCAGGGCTATGTGATGATAGCCTAAGGGTTGTCACTAAATTTTTTTTCTTTCGTTTTTTTTTTGTTTAGCAACAGGGGTTAAGTGACTTGCCCAAGGTCACACTGCTAGTAAGTGTTATGTGTCTGAGGCCAGATTTGAACTCAAGTCCTCCTGAATCCAGGGCCGGTGCACTGTGCCACCTACCTGCCCCCTAAAATTTTTTTAATGAGCCCTGAGCAGTAAATAGTTACTTAGGAATATTTCAAATAGTATATTAAATTTCTCTGAGGTTCACAGCAAATTTTTTGGGTTATTGTTGAAAGCAGTTCACAGAACAAAAAAATGTTGGGAATCATTGATCTTCTCTGCATGTAGCTGATATCTATCTATTTATGTACTTGCTGTTGTCCCCAAAGGAATGTTAAGTTCCTTTAGAGCACAGACTATTTTTTTTCTTTTTTAAAAAATTTTTTATTAGTTTATTTTGATTGGTCAACAATCACTTCCATATGCTTTTGAGTTTAAAATTTTTCTCCCCCTTCCTCCCCACCACCCTCCCCAAGACAGCACACAATCTGATATAGGCTGTACATATACATTCCTATTAAACATATTTTCACATTAGTGAAGTTGTAAGTAAAAATTAAAACCAATAGGAGGAACCATCAGAAACAGGAAACAAAACTCAACAGAAGAGAAAAAAAAAGATAGCAATTCAATTTCCATAGTTCTTTCTTTGGATATGGATAGCATTTTCCATCACGAGGCCTCTGGGGATGTCTTAGATCCTTGTATTGCTGAGAAGGGTTCAGTTTATCAGTCATATCAGTTATATTATTAGTCATCACACAATGTGGCTGTTATTGTGTATAAAGTTCTCTTGGTTAGAGCAGAGACTGTTTTTACTTCGGTTCTTGAGTGCCATGCACAGTGCTTGGAATACAGTTTGTAGTTCAGTAATTTTCCAATCCTTCATGACCCTGTGAACCATAGCATGCCAATACTATCCATGGGTTTTTGTTTTGTTTTGTTTTTTGGCAAAGATACTGGAGCTGTTTGCCATTTCCTTCTCCAGTGAATTAAGGCAACAGAGGTTAAGAGACTTGCCCAAGGGTACATAGCTACTAAGTGTCTGAAGCTGGATTTGAACTAAATCCAGGCCCAGCTTTCTATC